TAATCACAATAAACATTGCTATTAATAATAACTTGGCTGGCTTTGGAAACTCTTTCCCTGGAGAGAGTACCTTTTGTAATTTTCTCTCTCAAATGGCAAAATGTCTTCCTTCAACTCTGGTTATGATATTACCAGTCTATTGTCTGACGATTTCAATTTTAGCGGAAAGGTTTATTATCCAGGTTCTGTACCAATACTCCACAGAGTTCTTAATGTGGGCCTTTGCACATTTTCTGCCTCCAAGGCAATGTGATTGATGCTGGAGTTTAAGGAGAGAGCACCTAATTAACTCTCTGTGCCCAAATATAAACCAACAGGAAATCTCTAGACATCTTTGTAAACGAGATGCCCTGCCCCTGAATTTGTGTGGATTCATAAGGATTTGCCTTGCTGTTGGCCTGGGCATAACACCTTTATGGTCTCAGCCATCATAAAGAACTGCCATTATTTGGGTTGGCAAGGAATGATATTATTCTTACATGTTTCCTGTCAGATTTCAGTGAACAAGATCATTACTGTGAGCTTCCCTGAGGCAGTTCCTTGTCAGAATTTTGGAATTGACTAATAATAATTTAATCTAGGTGTCTGTGAAGTAAACAGTTGGAAGTTTCAAGTGGGGCTTAGGCAGAGATACAGAGCTATGTTTGGGGCTATGCTCCTCATAGCATTTTTGGAGATGTTTACTACCTCTCTCTGGAAGTGGGACAAGAGACATGGCTCTCTTCTGGAATATTTAGCCTATGGCTCCAGCTATGCTCACCTAGCACATTTTCAATGAAACCCAAAAATTAGAAAAACAACCATAAGCCACAAGTGATCTCCTGGTAAAGAAAGCCTTGCCTCTCAGTGAGCTGAAGTAACATTTTTAAAGGAGGGCAAGGAGCTGAATAAGTACATTTTTGGTGGAAATTCCCAGATATCTCTGCCACATTAGGGACGGTTGTCCTGCTTTGAAAATCCTATGTTCTCCCCATCTTATTTATTGTGCTCAATTAATTGCAAGATATCTATCTTTATCTTCCATGCTGAACACAGCACTCAAGGGCTAGATATTCTCCAAGCCATTTTCTATCTTGTTTAATTATGAAAAAAAATGTGCCCAAAGTTTTTGGAGACAACCAAGAACTGTTTTAGTAAGAATGCAACAGTCTTATGAAATATTTCATAAGAAACTTTTGACCTATTTTTTTAGCTAAAGTAAATGACTCAGAATTGTATCAGATGTCCAAGCAAAGTTGAAAGCTTGTGGGAGGATGAAACTGAACAAAGTTTGGGTATAAAATCTTGACTCACTATGAACAATCTCAGCAACACCCCTTTCCAAGGGTGGACTGATCTGGTTGAACCAGTTCATGCCCCATTAGTTTACTGTAATGCACTCTACAGGGGTCTGCCCTTGAAAAGCTTTTTGAAGTTGTGCAAAATGCAGTTCCCAGACTGTTGTCAGGTGTCTGCTTGAGAGATCAGATATAACTGCTCTTTATACCAAGTGTGTTGGCTTCCAATGTGCTTTCAGGCTCAATTCAGGGTGCTGGCTTTGACACTCGGAACCTTAGACAGGATATACAAAGTACGTGTTGTTATTTGCCATCAGGTCAACTTCAACTTATGGCGACCCTATGCATGAGAGACCTCCAAGATTCTCACTCATCAGTTGCGCTGCTTAGGTCTTACAAACTCAGGGCTGCAATCAATCATTCCATAATGTAATCGCCTTCTTTTCTTACTATCTTTCCTTTCACCAAGCATTATTGTATTTTTCACTGAATCACATCTTCTCATAGTCTGTCCAGGTTACAGCAGTCTCAAATTAATCATCTTGTCTTCTAGGGAGTATTCAGATCTGATTTTCTCTAAGCCCTCTTCATAGAATCATTGAGTTGGAAGAGACCACATGGGCTATCCAGTCCAGCCCCCTGCCATGCTGGAAAAGCACAATCAAAGCACCCCTGACAGAAGGACATTCAGTCTCTCTTTCAAAGCCTCCAAAGGAGGAACTTCCACCACACTGCTGGGCAGCTCTTGCGGTCAGGAAGTTCTTTCTAATCTTCAAGTGAAATCTCCTTTCCTGTAATTTGCTATTTTTAGCAATCCATTCAGGCATGTAGCCCCCCCCCCCTCTGAAATTCTCATGGTGGTTCGCGAAAAGGCCTTACTGGTGCATTATTTAAACTGTTATGTTTATTCATATCATGATCTGATCACCATACTCAATATATCCCATATGCATGGGGGTATTGGGGTAATGATACAAAAGGTTTGCTAGGCTAGACCCTCTTTCACTCAGACTCAGTCCCCCCCCCGAAACTCACCCCCCCCCCCGAAACCCCCCTGAAAATTTTTTAGCCCCCCCCCCCCCCAAAACGAAATCCTGGCTACGGGCCTGAATCGATTGGTATCCATAGAAGTCTCCTCGAGGGCCATATTTCAAATGAGCTCATTATCTTCCAGTTAAATTCCTTCACTGTCAGGTTTTTCTCCTTTGTACCTAGGAATGTGAAGATCTTCTCTTAGAAACCAGCCTGGAATTTGCTATCCTCAATGGAGACACTGCTCCAAGCCCCAGTACCCTGCAAAGGTAGATTGGTAGAAATACAAGACAGGACTTTCTTATTTGTGGTATTCTGCTTGTAAAACTTCTCCCTCCGCCCCAGGGTAGTTGATACATATCACTCAATTGCCAGATTTGGCAGAAATATTACCAATTAATCTCCTGTCCCATTTTTTATTTGCTTTCAAAATGTTCCAGCTTCTCTCTCCTCCTTCCACTTTCCCATTTTGTCCCTGGCTCACTCCAATTCCTGCACACCGAGTTCATAATGCAAACCTAATTTGTATTCAGTTAATTCATCAGAGGGGATAGTCACAGAGAAGACTGGAATAATTGGAAGGCACAGAACAGGCTGCACCACGAGACGCAGAGCCAACCTTAAGAAATGGGGCTACAAAGTGGAGTCCAGAACATGCTATTGTGGGGAAGAACAAACCACAGAACACCTACTATAATGCAACCTGAGCCCTGCCACATGCACAATGGTGGGCCTTCTCACAACGACACCAGAGGCACTCCAAGTGGCCAGCTAGTGGTCAAGGAACATTTAGTATAATGCCAAGTTTTAAAAACCTTTTTGTGTTCTTAAATTACAACTGTACCTTCAATTAGCTTCTGATACGATAAATAAATCAGAGGGGAAAGGTGAGTAAGGAATGAAATCTTGCACTTCCAGACTAGTAGACTCAAAGATACAGCCTTTTCTAGCTTATGTGTTCTCCATCATTAATAACTTCTGCCATTTAAACCACAGTCTGATATGACACACATATAATAGTTTTCAATTTTGAAATGTTGACGGGTACGCTGGCACCATCTCTTCCAAATTTCTTGTGTGGAACCAGGACTGTTTTGTGTGGTCTTTGAACCCCAAAGCCAGGGTTACTAGGAGTACCGGTGTGTGTGTGTGTGTGTATGTATTTAAAACTGGTTTTGAAAATACTTTGATTAATTTTCAAATAATAATTTTATCTTGCCACCTGTTGTGCATTGCTTTGGGGGTCCTACTGGGCTTAGAGGCAATAAACATGCTTTTAAATCAAAGCTTTCCAACCATTTCACGTTGGTGACACACTTTTTAAACATGCATTATTTTATAACGCAGTAATTTACTGTATATACTCGAGTATAAGCCTAGTTTTTCAGCCCCTTTTTTAGGCTGAAAAAGCTCCCCTCAGCTTATACTCGAGTCAAGGTTATTTATTCTTTTACTCTGTTATTAGTATTATTTTATTATATTTATTATTTTACTTGATTATTATTATATTTACATTATTTTGCTCTATTATTATTCTATTTATTATTTTGTTCTATTATTATTATTATTACATTTACAGTATTTTACCCTATTATTACTACATTTATTATTTTACTCCATTATTACTGTTTTTATTGCATTTTCATTATTTTACTCTATTATTTTTTATTATATTTATTATTTTAATAATAAGTACATTTACATTGAAGGAGGTTAGAATAATGGTTTAATAAGAGTTGGACAGTTTTATCTTAAATTACAGTTTTATGTAAATATTCAGAAACATTTAGCCTATCGATGACTCAATTAATGTAATTTTATTGGTATCTATTTTTATTTTGAAATTGACCCATAGTGGATGCATTTCCCACCCTCGGCTTATACTCGAGTCAATACGTTTTCCCAGTTTTTTGTGATAAAATTAGATGCCTCGGCTTATATTTGGGTCGGCTTATACTCGAGTATATACGGTAGTTTTACTAGCAAACCAGAGGTTAAACCAACCTCTTTTAAGAGATACAGAAACATGTATACATTACAGTAACAAAATGTATGGGGACACAATATCTCACATAAAAACCTTTCCTTTTTCGTTACGTTCATGAGACACACCTATACAGTACAGCTGACACACTAATATGTCGCAACACATAGTTTGGAAAACTCTGCTTTAAATAAACACATTCTACGAATCTCTCTTCATCTTTGACTTTGTAGTGCAGTCCTCAAATCAATTATGATTGCAAGTATCTTTAGAGTCCTTGACTTTGTTTGCACGCAGGATGGAAACCAATGTTAGTTAAAAACTAACTTAAGGTATGTATGACGTTGAGCATTTCGCCAATGAAGCTTGCCCAGTTAATGTCATCCTACATTCACTGTGTACACTTGTTTATCACATGTGCCTCATATTTTCTTTCCACATGTAGTGGCACATTTTAAGCAAAAGCAGAATAGTTCTGAAAGCAGGCAGATGTCCTCAGAATGCCTCCAGCAGCGGGGAAACCTGCCAAAATTATAAATGGGAGATCCTGTTCAAAGGGTATATTTGTTAGTAACAGAAGGTTAACCAGCAATGACCTTTTTGTTTTCTCCGCAACGTAACACAGGGCCACAGAAATGAGAAACATTTGGGCAGATGTAACACACCTTCAGGAACAACCAATCTGTGATCTTCAGTGCTGAGTAAGAGGATTCTGGTATATGTTGCAATGCAGTTGCTGGAAACAGATTATTTCACTTCTGATGAATGGAAAAGGAAGTGTTGACTTGCGTCGTTGCTGACCTCTATTTGGACATAATTGACAGTAATAAAGAGACTTTTTTTAATTTACCAGGGAGCTGCTATAAGTACATGTAGACTATTTGTACAGGGTATTCTTTCATTTGTTTCTGCTGGACTGTTGTCCTGTGAAAGCTGGGAAGGATGACATATTTTTTAGCTGATTCCAACAAGCCCATTAAGACTGAAAGGAACAATTGCAATGGGTAAGTAATGCATTGCCTTTTCTCATATAATATATCCGGATCTGTCTTAGGGTGCATCTGCACTGTAAAATTAATTCTGTTTAATCCCGCTCTATGGCTCTATGGCAGTTGTTCTCAACCTTCCTACTGCCATGACCCCTTAATACAGTTCCTCATATTGTGGTGACCCCCCAGCCAAAAAATATTTTTGTTACTACTTCATAACTTTAATTTTGCTACTGTTATGAATTGTAATATAAATATCTGATAAGCAGGATGCATTTTTATTGAGTGGACCAAATTTGGCACAAATACCCAATATGCCCAAATTTGAATACTGGTGGGATGGGGGGGGGGGTTGATTTTGTCATTTGGGAGTTGTAGTTGCTGGAATTTATAGTCAACCTACAATCGAAGGGCATTCTGAACTCCACCAGAAATAGAATTGAACCAAACTCAGCACACAGAACTCCTATGACCACCAGTTTTGGAGTTGTAATTCACCTACAACCAGAGACTCAAACAATAATGGATCTAGACCAAACTTAGCATGAATACTCAGTATGCCCAAATGTGAACACTAGTGAGGTTTGGGGAAAATAGGCTTTACATTTGGGAGTTATAGTTGCTGAGATTTATAGTTCACCTGCAATCAAAGAGCATTCTGAACCCCACCAATGATAGAATTGGGTCAAACTTCCCACACAGAATCCCCATGGCAAACACTGTGTTTCTGATGGTCTTTGATGACCCCTCTGACACCCTCTTACAATCCCCCCCCCCCCTCAGGGGTACCACCACCCTAGGCTGAGAAATGCTGTTTTATGGTATGGCATCCTGGGAGTTATAGTTTGTTGAGACATCAGTGCACTTTGACAGAGAAGGTGAAAGATTTTGTAAAAATACATCTCACATGATCCCATAGCATTGAGCCATGGCAGTTAAAGTGGTTTAAAACCACATTGATTCTACAATCTAGATGTGCCCTCAGAAACCAGCAAAACCTGACTGAGATTGACTACTGTCATTGCATTGTGATTTTAGTATCTTATTGACTTAGCTGTATCTCAACGGAAGCAGCTACATGTTCCTGCACATACCTGTGTTTCATGGGACATAACTGGAGCCCCCAGTGGCGCAGTGGGTTAAACCCCTGTGTCTGCAGGACTGAAGACCAACAGGTCGCAGGTTCAAATCCGGGGAGAGGCGGATGAGCTCCCTCTATAAGTTCCAGCTCCTCATGCAGGGACATGAGAGAAGCCTCCCACAAGGATGATAAAAACATCAAAAATCATCCAGGTGTCCCCTGGGCAACGTCCTTGCAGACGGACAATTCTCTCACACCAGGAGTCACTCCTGACATGACAAAAAAAATGGGACATAACTGACTGATAGGAAAATGTTCTGATGCAAAAGATTTTATTTTAATCATTGGATGTGGACCTGCATTCCTAAGTAGCCAGCCCTATTCCATTTGCAATTATGACTGGGGACTGAACGTAATCAGAAACTCTCAAGTTTTTTGAATATCGTTTTAATTTAAATGTAAATTGAAACCTAGCTTTTAATCAAGATGATGGGGCAAAAATATTACAATAACTGTAAAGGAGGAGGGCCAAAGTGAAGTTTCTTTTTTAACAAAAAAACTCCCACATAAACAATATTCCTACATTTGGAGAGTTGTTGAAGAAGCTTGGCAGGAGCAATAATGGATTAAAATGATGAACTACAATCTGTGAATACGATAAAATAATCCATTGTTTGACTTCCTACAATCGATTTGTTGTCCTCGGTTGAAACTGTAAGGTTTAAACAAAACTATAGATGCTCATTGCTCTTGGTATTTACTTTACCTTGTTTATTCCGCTTTTATCAGCCCTTCTCCTCAGAAACTCAAGATGACTTTCCCTCCAGATCTTATTTCCTCAGATTTAGAAAAGTGGATTTGTAAAATTAAATTGAAAGAAGGCTGGCAAAACTGGCCTCCTCGCCCCGTCTTTTTAACCGCTTAGATACGGCACCAGATTTCTTCCATTCATTTTGACAGAGATCTTTCACAAGGTTGTATTTTTTCTCATATATTTCTTTTCATACTCTATGAGTACCCTAAGTACTGCAACACCCCTAGAAGCTGTGACTTTCATCAAAGGAGTTGCCAAATCAGTAGTTAAAAGAAAGACCTGAATGATGTTTACTAGAGGTAACCAAAGTTTCATTGCTTTGGAGTTTTTAAGAGATTACAAGACATGCTAAGACTCAGCTTTTGAGCTCTACAATTATGTAGAACAGTGGTTCCCAACCTGGTCTGCAAGAACTAAAATATGGTCCACGGTCTCACCGTTACTACGCCGTTGCAATGAGAGTGACTGGTCTCACAAAACCCTCTTATAGTGCCGAGGCTTATTAAATATGTTTTTTTGTCAGTGACTAATAGATGGCATATGTTCTGTATCAGAAACTAGAACAGATGTGGTTTATCCAATGCATTTTTCTGAATCAGCACCCCAAATAACCAAACCAAATCTAAAGTTGACCAAAAACTGATTTGAAACCCTTTTGGTACTAATGTTGGAGAGTGATCCCTGGTCAAGTGATCCTTGGTCAAAAAAAGGTTGGGAGCCACTGCTATAGAATCACCTGCTGAATGCTGACCATTAGCCTTTCCACTACACTATAAAATCAATCCAGTTTGACACCATTAAGCTGCCATGGTTCAATGCTATGGAATCATGGGAGCTGTCATTTTATAAGGTCTTTAGTCATCTCAGTCAAAGAATGCTGGCGATTCACTATACTACAGCTCCCAGGATACCAAAGTGCTGAGCCAAAGTGGTATCAAATGGCATTAATTCTACAGTGTAGATGTACCCTGTGGTTATCGACAGACTAAATGAATAGGGAGTTCAACTTGCCTATCTACTTCATTATTTACTTCAGCTGTCCAGGCATTGGTGAACAAATCCCAGCAGCCTCACCAGCATTTCCAATGATAACAGATGACGGAGTTGCAATCCAACACAAGAAGGGCTGATACAATGACCACCAGTTTCATCTTGACTATCAATAATTGGGGCTTGTTGTATTGTAGGGTACATCTACACTGTAGATTTAATGCAGTTTGGCTTCACTTTAACTGCTTTGGGTAATGCTATAGAATCTTGGGGTTTGTAGTTTGATGAAGCATCAGCACACACAGGCAGAGAAGCTAAGGACCTTGTAAAATTTCAACTCTTGTGATGCCATAGCATTGAGCTGTGGCAGTTAAAGTTGTGTCAAACTGTATTAATTCTACAGTGTAGATGCTCCCTAAAGCAATGAGCCAAAGCCTTCTAGTATATACAGTTCTCCTGGCTAGTCACATGCAGCACTTTTATTGCTCCTAGCTCTCTTTGGTGGTCTGGAAACTAGAATGCTCTCTAAATAAATGTAATGCACTGAAGAAATATTAGAGATGGCCAAAGAAAAAATGTGAATGGGCATTGGCAAGATGTTGAATAGCAAACTTTCCCCAAGAGATTACAACCAGGAACGGAGGTAGAAAAGCAAATATGCAAAATCCACCTGCTGAATGCTTTTGAAAGGGGAAGGCCGAGCAGGAGGCAGCTGCAGAGGAGCCCAAGAGAGTCAGCGGAGGAAAGTCCTGGCAGCAAGCGAGCGACAGGTGCTGGCAAGGCAGCCAAAGCAGAATGAGTCACAAAGGCCAGCGAGGAGCCGGGAAGGGAGGGCAAGAGCAAGCTGGTGGATGCAAAATGCAGATTATCTCCGTGGTTGCCTTTGAGGGCCAAACGTTTTCTGAAAAGGCATTTGAATAAATTGACTAATGGAAACACATTTCCATGCCAATTAAAAATCTCTAACTTCCTACTTCCTCTTCATTAACACATTCTTAACCTATCTGTTCCATAATGTCACCTACCATGTGATTTCTAATTTTTTGCAATCATCTCCCTGCAACACGTTACCAATAATGTATGGAGTTTATTCCACCACCTACCCCCACCCACCCCGGCGGGTTTCTGAACACTTCTAATCCATTGAGGGTACATTTTTGATGGAGCCCTTCCCATGAACAGGGGAATTTCCTATCAGCTCCTTCATGCTCCATTAGGGAAATATCTTGAACAGTCCAAAAGGGGGAGGGGGAGAAGATGGTCAGCAATTGTCTTCTGGATTCAGAAACTGGAATATAACTGGAGAAAACACCAAGGGATAAGGCCCTCAACTTGATCTTCTTAGCTGATTGAGGCAGCCAGGGAGGGCTGGTTGTGTGGGTGGGAGCAGAAAGCAAAAAGCAGTGAATGCATCTTTGATTAAATGAGACTGAAGGTGGTCATTATTAAAAAAACTTCTTTTAGAAAATCTTTGGATACTTTTGTGTTGGATAATTTCCAACCATTTGTGAATGAGGTAATTAAGTGTGTGGTTATATTCAGCTCCAGAAGGCTTTGGATAAAATGGATGATCTAGAATCTGGCTTCATGACTGAACCCAGAACTTAGACCAGCTTTGGTCACTCTAGTAGTTAAGTTATTCTGTCTGGCTCTGTTGGGGTTCTCCTCAAATTTGATTGTGTCAACCATAGTATTTATCTGGAATGAGTTTGGGCGGTGCTGTTTTACAGGGACTCCAATCCTGAAGAGTTAGTAACAAAAGATGATATTGAGGGACACTTCTTCAACCCTCTGATAACTGATATACAACACTCCTCTGGATCTGATCTTGTTTCCCCATTTTGTTGAATAACTCCATCCTGCTACTGGCAAAGAGTTTCAGGAATTTGGAGTGCATTCTTGATAAGGTGTGGATGACACACAGTTCTGTTTATCCTTTTTAATCTGTTTCCAGAGAAGTTGTTCTAAATCATAGTATGTTGGTCGAAATGAGAGCTAACAAACTGAGACTTACTGAAGACAAGGCACATGTGCTCCTGGAGAGAAGACAAAGAGAGTCTTGGGATGGGGTAATATTCCCCTTGAAGAAACAGGCTTGTAATAGGGGAAGCTTCTGGATTAAACTTTACACCTGCACGTTCAGGTGGCAGCCATAACTAGCAATATATTTGCCAAGTTCAGCCAGTGTGCCAGCTACGTTAATTCCTGACAAGGTCACATGTGGCCATAAACATATTTTGGCTGTGCATTCTGACCATAGATGACTTCAACACAATCTGCTACATATGAGAGATCAATGGTCGCAAGACAGAGCCATTAAAGACAGTAGTCACAATATTCAATATCAACTTTTAGAAGGACTATGCCACTGAAGACTAGCTGATGTGAGAAAGCAGGAGGGGAAAGTTAGCAATTTCATGTCCTGCTTTTGGTGTTCACGAAGCAACAGCATGGCCAGATAGGGGAAACAAAAGGCTGGACTGATGGGACTAGCCTTACCATCTCAGATGGCAAGTGGTGGGAACCCTGGGAAATAGTGGAGCTTGTTGATGGTCAGTATGTGCAACTTGACCATTCCTGTACCTTCTAAGTGAGCCTGTTATCTTCAGGTACAAAAGAAAACTGTGCCTTATGTCTAGTATTGAAATAAAATTCAGGTACTAGCGTGGTCAATTTTGTATAATTAATAGGAATTGTGAAGTGCCATCTCCTTTGCCTCATGGCCCTGTGGACTTCATGGACTCTTAGTTTGATCCATCACGGATCCTTTGATTTTTGTTTTAAAACATTTTGAACATAATAGGGAAACCACCATGTGTTGGTGTCTACTATAAAACCACAAGATAAGACAGCCAAGAAACTGTAACACCACTTGTGTATAGTGTCACAAACCAAGGGGAAAGGTTTCTATGATCATGTAACAACCCCCTACTTTCTGGTAGCAATTGCAATAGCAAAAATATGCTATGCAGGTTTGGTGGCAGGGGAAGAGTTGAGGCAAACAATGTTATTTTCCAAAGCACAAAATATATCACCAGCAAATATCAGAAGTATAACCCCAGGGAAGCTGTCGGCAGTCAGCATACCAAATGGGTGACAACTTCACATTTACTAAACTAAAATGTGATCATTTGAAAAGAGCTAGGCTTTAACCCAACTCCTCTTTCTTTTCCTGCCTCCAACTCCTGTCTCCAGCTCGCTCATCATTATAAATATATAACCAAGCAATCTAAAAGCTTGCATGAAATCTCACATTGTTATACTTTATTTCCCATTTCCCCCCAGCAAGGCTTCATTGATTGGATTCCTTATATTTATTTTCTTTCCTAGGAGCCAACTCGTTTCCGTTAAGAACCCACATTTGGATTTAATGGATGAAGACATCCTCTATCACTTCAGCCTGGGGACCAAAACACACGACCTGCCTGCCATGTTTGGTGACATAAAGGTAAAGGAAACAGCATATGGTTGAAGCAGTCTTCAACCGATTTTCTTCCTGTTCAAGCTTCTCTTCATTTCTTTTACGGCTTACATTTTCTCGCAGCAACTTAGTGCCAGCTTCACAGAGATGACTTAAAAGTCCCAGAGGAGGCAAGTCAGTGCCCATTCTGTAAAGTAACTGAGAGAATACACTGCAGCTATAGTTATGGGCAATTACCCTGCCTTTCTCAGGGAAATAAGTAGACTGAAGAAACTAAATCTTTTGCTGGAATGATGAGCTCACTTCTTCCCTGGGGTAGTTTCAGTGACTCCAGTTCAGAAGGAATACATTGGGGGATTTGACTTTACATGGTATTACTTTCAAGTCTTTGTAAAAAAAAATGAACAAGGAGAGGGCAGTGTCAGCTCCTGTGTAAGGGAAAGCTCTTTAGATTGTGTATTTACACATTCAGGGGGTCAATGTAGTGTTAGTAGTTTGAGCTTTGGACTATATATGACACCGAAGATCAGGGTTCAAACATTCAGCCATGGAAACCCACTGGATGATCTTGTCCAGGGCATTCACACTTGGCTTTAGAGGTGGGCAAGGCCAAACCCCCTTTGAACAAATCCTGCCAATCACATCCTGTAATAGAGGAGGAAGAGAGAAGAGGAATGAGCCTTGCTCTTCCCTGTAGGCTCAGGTCAAAGCAAACCATGCTTTTCTCTTGTTCTTTGAGATGCTGCTTGGCCACATATGTGCCAGTTATTATATGTGAAAATGGTGGTGAGCATGTAAATAATTGAGAGCCAACATGGTGTAATGGTTTGGCTCTCAAGACCAGAATTTGTTGAGATCCAACCTCAGAGGAAAGGGAAAGGAACTGCCCTTTGAACAAAGCTTGCCAAGAAAGGCAAAGGGTAAAATTTCCTCTTGACATTAAGTCTAGTCAAGTCCATCTCATCTCCATTTCTAAGCTGAAGAGCCGGCATTGTCCATAGAAACCTCCTAGGTCATGTGGACAAATGACTGCGTGGAGTGCTATTACCTTCCCACAAAAAGGTACTTATTGATCTACTCACATTTGCACGTTTTTGAACTGCTAGGTTAGCAGAAACTGGGGCTAACCATGAGAGCTCACCCTGTCCTGTAGATTCAAACTGCCAACCTTCAGCTTAGCAGTTTAACCCGCTGCACCACCGCAGCCCCTTTTGCCAAGAAAACTCCATGATAAATATGATTTAGGGTCACTATAAGTCAGAAGGACCTGAATGCTTATGACAACAATATACACAGTCACAACTGTATGAAGAACAGACCTTGGAAGTAGCTGCTTACAAATAACATATTACTTGAAATTATTTTTTCTAAGGAATGTGGAATTGATTTTCCTTACTACACATAAAGAGGAATAATGACACTCATTTGTGTGGTTACTGAAATAGTAATGGTAATGTGTACTCATTGAGGAATATCACATGGTTCAAGTGCCTCACTTTGCAGCTTTGTGGTCTGTTCTGAGGTTTGAAGCAATGTCAAGGCTGATGAAAGGAGCACAGATGTTTCCTCACAGGCCAATAGTGTAGTACTCAGATTATTTTTAAAAAATGCAAAAAGTAACTTTCCTGGTACAATCCAAGTTATTTTTAAGAAATGGGAAATGTTACATTAATGGGCTATAAGTACTTTGGAGGCACTTTACTTTCTAAAGCTTCATCTACTACACTTCGAAACTGTGACCTGTTGGTCTTCAGTCCTGCCGGCACAGGGGTTTAACCCACTGTGCCACCGGAGAGAGGCGGATGAGCTCCCTCTATCAGCTCCAGCTCCTCATGTGGGGACATGAGAGAAGCCTCCCACAAGGATGATAAAACATCAAATCACCCAGGCGTCCCCTGGGCAACGTTCTTGCAGACGGCCAATTCTCTCACACCAGAAGTGACTTGCAGTTTCTCAGGTCGCTCCTGACACGACAAAAACAAACAAACAAACTACTACACTGTAAAATTAATACAATTAAAAGTCACTTTAACTGCCATAGACTGGAAGTTAAGGAACTTGTCTCAATGCTCTTTGCAGTGTTGACCTTCACTGCCAAAGTATGCTTCACCATACAACAGAGCCCAGGATTCCATAGCATTGAGATAAAGTGGCATCAAGTTTTACAGTGTAGACGCAACCTCAGATTATAATTACTTTAAAACAAATTGTATTCTTTATGTGTATTTTTCATATTAAAATCCCTCTGAGGCAAAACTCAAGTCAAAATCTAGAATCTAGGAAGTTACATCGTATTAGGTCACACAGTTCCTCGTCTTGCTCAATAAATTTGACATTGTCTGGCAGTGACTCCCCAGAGTCTCAAGGTGGGATAATTTCCTGCCTTTTGCTGTCAGATCCTTTTAACTGAGGATGTCAAAACAAGCTCTCTATTTCTAAACTATGGCATTTTGCATATTGCTGCCTTGAAACATGAAGAAGTCAATTATGAAGATTCCTAATAGGAGGTTTCCCAGTTAAATATTGGCCCTTTGAATTGACCATCCATATACTGTGGTGAGAAACAACAACCATGAATTAAATTGATTTTTTACTAGGAAAAGAGTTAATCCAAAGTGCTTTAAATACCACTGTTGTCAATAGGAGGGCTGAGGCATTAAACATTGTTCCATAAGTGCATCACTTTTTTGAAGTACACCTTTAGCTTGGTTTGTACACTTCACATTTTTCCATCACGAATTAAGCACCCAAAGTACAGTTACACAGCTTTTAATAAAATTTGAAGGTAATTGAAGCCACCTATAAGACTTGGTGCAGTGGGTTAAAATACTGAGCTGCTGAACTTGCTTACTGAAAGGTCGCAGGTTCCAATCCAGGGAGTAGTGTGAGCTCCCACTGTTAGCCCCAGCTTTTGCCAACCTAGCACTTTGAAAACATGCAAATTTGAGTAGATCAATAGATATTGCTCCAGCGAGAAGGTAACAGCACTCCATGCCGTTATGCTGACCACATGATCTTGGAGGTGTCTACGGACAACGCCAGCTATTTGGCTTAGAAATAGAGATGAGTATCAACCCCCAGAGTCAAACACAACTGGACTTAACATCAGGGGAAAATCTTTACCTTTACCTTATATTACTTGTAAGAGCCAGTGTTGTGAAATGGTTTGAGTTTTGGACAAGTATTTGAATTCCCACTCAGAAATGGAAACTCACTGAGGACCCTTCCACACAGCCATATAACTCAGAATATCAAGGCAGATAATCCACAATATCTGCTTTGAACTGGGTTATCTGAGTCCACATTGCCCTATAATCCAGTTCAATGTGGATTTTATACAGCTGTGTGGAAGGGGCCGTAGTGACTTTAGGCAAATCTCGCTCTCTCAGTTTCAGAGGAAAGCAAGGGCAAACCCCTTTTGAACAAATACTACTAAGGAGACCCCATGATAGGGTCACCATAAGTCAGAAATGACACAAAGACACACAACAAGAATACCTTTAATTAAAGACACCTTCCAGCCCTCTGTAGCGTGTTCCCAATCAGAGCGGTGTTCCTGTAGTCTGTGCAGCAGGATGCAAAGCAATGCAAAACTTGAATAATCTAAAGGAGTTTCAGTAATTTAATTCCTCCTATAGTTTCTGACAGCAGCAGCCATATGGGACAGTTGGAACATGGTCATTCAGAAGTAAGAGGTACCCCCCCCCCTTTAATGCGGCCCTTTGTGACATTCTTTGCATTTTTACTCCCTGTTTCATCTGTATAATTCTGAGCAATTCCTGTCATTCTAGTTGATACCACTGAAATAATAAATCAGACCACATGCTATTTCAGCATCTGCTTCGAGTTTGTTTGCAGTAGAAATAGTTAAGTTTCAGCCCCCACATTAAAAGGATATTGTGCTGCATTTACTTTGAGTTGAGTGTTTCAGTAACTCCATACTGAAACAGGATTGGACAAAAATGTAAACATGATATACAGATGTCTGTGTTTTGCTTTAGTTTTCCATTTACCCCTTTCAATATGGGTAGAATGCCATGAACAATGTAGCCACTCAGGATCTCATCACATTGAGGTCCCTAAGCTGGGGGACAACAGAGGACTTTTATCGGGTAGCATGGCGAATCTGTGGGGCAGTGGCGGAAACCATTGCCCTGTACCCCGCATTGCCATTTTACCTATCACATGGGGGAAAACACTGCTGCCCGTCTCCTGCCCAGGCTAGCCCCAGTCTAACTAATGAGAATATGGGAAACCTCCCATGTTCTCTGGGCTCCGTCCTATGATACTTCCAGGACGCTGCTCCACCAGAAATAGCTCTGCATCATGTGATGGGCTCTGGCATTCTCCATCCTGTAAGTGTTCTAAGATGGAGTCCAAGGCTAATGCAATGAGGTCCTCAGGCCACCAACTTCACCCTTTGTAACCACCTAGAAAACAAAACAACTGGCTTGACATCACTGCTACTCACATTTTACATCATGGGCTACTTCTTTAATGAATCAGCAAAACTTCAGTCAGATCACATATTTTGCTTTACTAGATGTTTACTAAACACAGACTAGCTCTGCTGCTATTTGCTGCCCAAGTTGCATATTTCTCAAAGAATAGTCAAGCTTCAGGTTTCTGAACAATAATACAGATTAAGGAAATAAACAATTTGTTCTGCTAAAACACAATATGCTACCATATTTTAAATCCATTAGATTTCTTGTGCTACCTGAGATCAAAATGCATTTCTGTCCATGTTAACTGCCACCTTGACTAAATAGGTCAGGCAGTTGATTTATCCTGTCTTTCTGGTACATTCCCTTTGGATGTGAAAAGAAAGAAAGAAAGAAAATGTATGAAGGCAGTTCAGCATCTTATCACCAGTGCAGAGCAAGTCTGGGTTGTTGCTATGGCTGATAATCTTATCATTAATTTTTCAGTTTGTCTGCGTGGGTGGGAGCCCCAACAGAATGAAAGCTTTTGCTCAGTTCATGCATAAGGAACTTGGACTCGAAGGAGATGCCAAAGATATGTTGGATATTTGTGCTGGGACAGACCGGTACTCCATGTTTAAGGTTGGCCCGGTGCTCTCCATCAGCGTAAGTACCTTGCGCGGGGACTGGAAATACTTCCATTCGTGGTTCAACAGTAACCAATGACATCACCATGTTGTTCACATCTTTTATTTAGTACTTCATGTAGATCTAAGACTTGGGAGATGAGGTGGAATGAAAGCCTTTACAACCAAGGGACTTTATAGAAAAAAAGCAGCAGTATGATCATTAACAAAGCTTTCCAGGAATCAGCCCCATTCTATAACACTGTCGGTACCTTTGCTTTGACTGACAAGCACTGCTTCTATGAGCAAGAAGCTTTCAGTCCTTTATGCTTTTACTGCTTCTACTGACGCTGTCAGCAAGAGTGCCTGAGGGCACATCCTGTAATCTTAGCATATCTCATGGGTGCTAAACCAGAAATATGGGAAATTGAACAAAGTGGTTACCTTGGAAAAATGCAGATTCCTTTCTTTGTAGGTTTATAGTGCAACTTTGGGTATGTAGATTGCGTGGCCCATGCTGGTCCCTGAGTAGCTGCTGTCTGAAGTAGGAGCTTGTTATATTAAGCCAGGCTGGAAGGCAATGCCAGGTGATTTTTTAGCCCCTTGAGGTCTGCAGAGTTCTACAGACTTGCAAGATCACCTCAGAACTGCAAAGGCATTGCATGACCATTGGGCTGGATGCTCTTTGCAATGTAGGCAAATCATGGGATATATGCTATCAGTCCTGACTTTTAACACAAAAACCCCAGTCCACCCCAGAGTATAAGTTAACTCTTTGACCCTAGGCATGGACCACAGCTCCCTTTAGCCATTGACAGTGGTTGGGATTGTGCAAGTTTTGGTCCCATGCAACTGGAAGGCACTACATAAGGCTGGCTCACACAATATGATATAGATAATTTGCACATGAAATTATGAACAAAAGAGAAGGCATAGAGTGAGATGAGAACAATCAGCTTTAATTCAGAGTTGTATATTATCTCATTCTCTAGCATATACTGTATTTCTTCACATAATAGTCTCCATCGCATAATAGTTGCAACCCCCTTTTGGATCCTGGTTTAGGATTCTTCACACAAGAGTTGCACCCATAGTTCACCAGTGTGACTATTATGCAAGGAGGCAATACCTGCCCGATTGCCTCTTCCCTCCGAGATACAAAGGATTGCCTTGGCCAAAGCAGCTCAGAGGTGATCAGGCGGGCAAGTTCACCCTTCCTCCACATGCACACCTCTCCCCTCTGAGTTATGAAGGGATGCCCTTGCAATGCAACTCTCCATAGCTTGAAGGGGAGAGGCACACAAGTGGGTGAGCCTGTTGGCAAGGGCTGCAGGGTCTCCCTTGCCTGGCAGTAGCAAAAGGATGCATATGTAGCTCTCACCGGCAGGTGAGCAGGCGGCTTTGCAGCTATGGGGTTTCCCTTGACTGGCAGCTGAGGGAAGTCCCATAGCTACAAACAAAATTCCTTCTGTTAATAGTGGCACTGTAGTGCGACTATTATGCAACGAAATACAGGTATTTGGTTTTGCCCTTACTGGTTTGCTACAATTAAAACCACTGTGCCGTTCACTGATATCAGCTTGACTTCACTCTATGACTTATTTTATGAATGCAAGACATCCAAATCATCCTGTAATCATCAACTTTGCTCAGTTCTGCACTCAAGGCTGTGTCTTCCTTAATTGAGTCTATTTTTATGGAATGCGATTTTCCTCTTTTCCTACTGCCTTCTACCAAGCATTATTGTCTTTTCAAGTGAGCCATGTCTTCTCATAATATGTCCAAAATATGCTAATCTCAGTTTAGACACCTTATAGACAGAATTCAAGATTGATTTGCCACAGATTTGTTTTCCCTGAAGCCTGTGGTATCCGTAGAACTCCACTCCAGCACCACATTTCAAACAAACTGATTTTCTTCTTTTCAGATTTTTTTCATGGTTCAGCTTCCATAACCATATGTAGAAATTGGAATTGTGATGGCATGAACCTTAGTATTCAAAGATATATCTTCACACTTCAGAATCTAGTTCTTTCATTGCTGGCTTCAAAGTCTAGTCTTCTTCTGATTGCAGTTATTGAAAGTTATGGAAAACACCGAACCATTTCAATATCTTCATCATCTACTTCAAAGTGATGTAAATCATCTGCAGTCATTATATTTTTTAATATTCAATTGTAAACCTGCATTCGTACTTTCTTCGGTAATTATTCCAAGTCTGCTAGTGGTACGGTGTTATCTGCATATCTTAAATTGTTCATGTCCCATCAGAGAGTTCTTCAAAAGAATGAGTCTTCAAAAGAATGAGTCATGCAGCACAGAGCACCGCAATACATACAGTAGAGTCAATAAAAAAAGGATCAATTTTTTAAAATGACAACAGGCATATCTGTTTTCTGCTACATAGTACTAGTAACACTGTGTACTACTATACAGTACTAGTGGAAAGTGACTATTGAATACAACCCATACCATTGAATTGCCTTCATGTCATTTCTGACTTATGATGACCTCATCAAACCATTTTCTTGGCAAATTTTGAGGGACAAAAGTTACCTTTGCCTCTTTTCAAGACTAAGAGGGTGTGGTTTCCCCAAAATCACCCAGTGGGTTTCCATGGCCTAGGGGAGATTCAGACCCTGGTCTCCAGAGTTTGTATAATCACAATCTAATAACTCTAATACCTTCAGGCTATAAATGACATTTAAGAGCCTTGTGATATAATCCTAAAATTACTGAACATATCCTTTACTCAGAGTCTCTTTAATTATATTATTCTAAATATAAATTGGGCTGGCTTCATATCAGTTGGTACACTATGCCCCACGGTGCTATTAGCTAGAATGGTTCTGTATTCCCACTAGCGCAATAAGAGTATTACTCTGCAATAAGGGTATTGCTCTGCAACTAAGAATTCTCCCACTCCTGGACTTTTCTTTCAATCCTCAAATTCCTAGGACTGCAGAGAATGAGCTATTGAAAAAATGTTCAAAAATAGAACTCTTATATTTTCTATGCCCACATTTCTTTGCTAACTTTACATGCCCTTTTTATTTGAATGTCTGAATAGTATTTCTGAATGCTTTACTGGCATTGATGTTATTTTAGAAAGAAAGCCAGTGTAGGGTAGTGGTTTGTGTGTTGGACCAGAACTCTGGAGACTGAGGCTTAAACCTCTAGTCAACTAGGTCACCATAGCCAAGTCACATCTTCACAATTTCAGAAAAAAGCAAAAGGAAATCATCCCTAAACAAAGCTGGGCAAGAACACCCTGTGATGGAGTCACCATAGGGTCACCATTAGCTTGAAATCCCATGAAGGTACATCATCACCATCATAAAAATAATACTATACATTTTGAATACCAAAGTAAATGTCATGAGATGTACAAAATTCTTATCGGGAAAGGGAATGCCTTCATTTCTCCCTGCCCCAAAAATACCTTCTCAGTATTTTGCTGAGGAACAAAGAGTGGGAGATATTCTTGCCTCTCATGGGCTTTGTATTAGGCCTTTGGTTGGTCATTGTGGAAAACCAATCCTGGATTTGAGTAGGCTAATGGTCTATGCAAACACAGTTGTTTTAAGATGTTACTGTTTCTTATCTAGCCCCTGTGATAAAGTCTCATGTAAGGTTAAAGTAACATTCAGTGAGGGTTTAATTTTGGTCGTTAAACCACTGCAAAGAACATGGGATGAAAGAAACATGTTTGAATTATATTTCCATATACCAACACAAACAGCTTCACAAGTATAAATTTTCTATGTATATGAATACATAGGGGATAGAAATGTGAAACACTGCAGGAAAACCAGTGTGCAGTAGTATTCTTCCCATACAGGGAAGTGTTACATATGCTTTAATCCCTAGTATACATGAAGAGAGTTTCGTATACAATAGATCTCCTTGAGTGAGGAAATTTGAATGCAAAAATCTGTTCTGTTCTCCACCCTAATTCGCTGTATGGAACCCCAGTTAAAATGTAAGCAAAAATGGCAACTTCTCTGGAGAAGAAATGGGAAGCAGGCTTGGTACCATGATACATTTGGATGGGAAAAATTGGGGGGGAGGCTCACCCACTGCTGTGTCTCAGAGAGAAAAATATGTTAAGGTGGCCCAGAGAGAGAGAGAGAGAGAGAGAGAGAGAGCAACTTACCACTATCCAGTTTCTGCACTCCATGATATTTGGAGAAACCTCTCCTTACTTACTGTTGAGTTCAATGGGGCTTACTGTCCTCTCATTGTGTTTTGCGTGTTCGAGTGTTAATGTTCTCATAAAATGTAACAAATTCCAAGATCTCGAATTGCTATTTTGTTGGTGTTGTTGTGTGCCTTTAAGTCATTTCCAACCTATGGCCACTCTGAGTTAAAGAAAGGTGGGACTTTCTTGGTGAATACATTTGCCATTCTCTGAGGCAGGGGCCCCATCTACACTGCCATATAATGCAGTTTCATAATGCAGTTTAACTGTACTGAACTGAGTCTACACTTCCATATAATGCAATTTAATGCAACTGCACCCAGTGGTTTAAAATGGTTGGCCTCCAGAGTCACAGTCCAATACTCATAGCATTGTATGACACTTGCTATGGGTATTATCCAAATGGCCCATTGCTCTCAAATTCTAGTAAATTCCAAATTCCTATCTTATTCATTTTATAACTAATTTAGTAGCCATATTCCTTCCCTTCCCTTTAGGTGCTCCCCGAGCAGTTATTGCTAGTCCAATCTTCTTGGCATTCAAAAATGCTATAGGTTTTAAACTTTAATAACAGTGAGTGAAAAAATGCCATGGCTTGCTCTTACTGTTTCTATAAATTATTTCCCTGCTCTTTGGGTCCATGGGATGTAACAGATGTGCAGGCCTGCCTAGGAAATCCCTCACCTGCACCTTTTCTAGAGAAGTGAAAAATAAGATTAATAGGCCAGGAGCAGAAGATCTCCATGTGAGTCAAAGGGTTGTTTTGTTATAACTCGAACACAAGTGGGATCAGACTCAAAGACAATGATTTATACTATTCTTTTGTTGGTATCATATCA